CTAATACATATAATTTGTATATAATTTTAATTTAGTTTTATAATGCTTGCTGTATGGCAGTTATCTAGAATGAAATTATATGTCTTTAATTTAATTGCTTTCATCAACATTGATAACATATTTTTAAATTGGAATTTTTATCAAAAATAATTTATGTTTCAGAAAAAAGCTCGGATGGTACAGTTGGTTAGTTGCAAAACATCGTGAATGGTTGTTTTATCTGTACTGTAATAGTATTGTACAGGTTTGTATGACATTTTATTGTATCTATATGTATAGCCTTTAATTTGTTCTTTGTCTTTTTCAGTTGTACCTTATGTCAGAGTAGTAATGAAAACATATAGTTACTACTTGGTTAAGCTTACTATACATATATGTCCTCTTTTTGAGAACATTTGCTCTTTTCCAAAGTACCCTTGCATACTTGTTGCTTTTGCTTAAGTTTTTCTAGGTGTTGTTCAGTTACTAGATCAGACACTTCTTCCTGTGGTTGTCCAGGACTTGCAGCAATGCTGTTGGAATGCATAACATTATTTATAATTACTATTAATTTTCAGTCTGCCATTACAGTGAATATGATATGGGGTTATAATAATAATGATAATAAAAATAATGTATGATGTTCCTCCGTAATGGGGAGTACGGGGCGGGGGAGGAAGGGGACAGGGAAAATAAAAAAAGCGCGTATCGACAGTTCTATGTATGGCCCAAAACCCTTATCGGCGCGCAGTTCTAAAAAAAGTCGAAAAAGACGCGTAAACAGCATCTTTATATTGTTATTTCAATTAAAATTATCATATGCCTCGGTGGTCGAATTGGTTGAGACATCCGCCTAGAATGAAGGGAGGTCCAGGTTCAAACCCTGGCTGATGTAATATTTTTCGTAATAAATTTTCTGTATTATTAAAATTGCCAGATACGGTCAATGAAAATCTCATAGCTATGGCGGACAGGTGGAACGATTGAAACCGAAAAAGAAAAGTTTCTATTGTGCGCTTTTTGTATACTTAACGATTAACTAATTTAAAAATACTGTTAAAATTATATGACATTTGCTCTGCCGCCGCGATAATGCGTAGTGAAGGGTAAAAATTGTGTATGATAATTCTGAAATATAATATAATAATAACCACATTTTGCTACTGAATCACAAAGATGCATACTGTTCCGCATTTGTTGCTTGATTTCTAAGTAATATTTTTCGAAAATTGATAAACAGTACAAAACTTTTCGATCTCGTATGGAAGTAAATTTAATAGATCTATTGTACACAAAAAGTTCTATATTTATACCGTATTTACATGTGTGCAATAAGAAACTTCCGTGAGCATATTTTGTCACATAAGTATTACGTGATTAAAGTCTCGTTATAACCGTGTAATTTGTATTATTACTTATTAATAGGAAATATGTTGTATGCTTCAATACAGTTTTAATATAAGGAAAGGAGTATTTGGTATTAACTGTGACTACATGAAAAAATCTCATTAAATATAAATATGTTTTCTCATGTTAATATGTTAAAGTGATAGCTAAAGGAACTGATGCGAATATAAGTTTTGTTATGCTTGATCACTATGTGTACGACATCTTACCGTTTTTTACATTCACCTACCCACTTGTATACCGACTTTGAACTAACTGTTATCTTGTGGTAATGTGTGAGTGCGGTGTAAATCTCTGATAATTGTGCTTCTGGGTTCTTCATTATGTGATTGAATATAATACTCTTCGCCTTTTCCTTTTTGTCGGTCTTTATCATTCTCCGAAATGGAATCCCTTCTCTAAAACGCGTACTTGTATCAGGAATTGTTCGGGATGTTTGTTAATAACCTGAACAATTTCCGAACTTACCTCTTCTTAGCTCCGTTCAGTCATCTCGATACCGACATTAAGTTAACTGTCATCTTGTGACGATGTTTGAGTGCGGCGTGAATCTCTGTTGCTCTTGCTTCTGGGTTCTTCATTATGTGATCAAATATAATACTTGTCGCTTTTTCCTTTTCGTCGGGCTTTATATTTTTCCGTTTTGTGATCCTGTTGTTAAAGCGCGTACTTGTATCATGGACTCTTTCGAGTATCCTGAGCAATTTCTGAAACGGGTACACATTTCTGATGTAATTCAATATCTTTTTCTCGTAGTTCAACGGTTGTGTGCTTCGACGTGTGATCCATTTTGCTTGAAGAACGCAGTACGACTGATATTTCTTGTTCTTCAAAAGTAATTGGGGAGCACAATGTTCTGTCTCATGTAAACAAGAGATGTATTTACCCGTATTCACGATGTTACAAACTAAATGTTTCATATCGATACAAATCTCTGTTGTGCGTCCAGTTAATACAATTTTTTATTTCTGTATATTACAAGCAGAAAATGTATTATTTATTACATAGTACATAATTAAAAAATTTGTTTATTACTACATTTACTTTTTTTAAGAGCGAGATATACATGGAATTATTTAAGAAAATAATTAAATTGGCAGAAGGTAAATGTTGCGAATACTATCTTGTCAACATGCAATCTCTTAGATGTTATTTAAATTAAAATAAGTAAAGTCATCATTCTTATTAATATAAATTTACTTTTCCGCTTTATTTAGGATCGAATCCGGACTCAAAATTTACATGTAAAATATTAAGCACGAAATCGTGTTAAAAGTACTATGCATAAAGAATTGCTCTTATGAAATTGGCTTGCAGAAAATAGTAAGTTATTGTTAAATCGAGTTGCATAATAACACTTTCTTATTCATCAAATAATGTCGTGAACATTTATTGTAACGGACTAAAAGAAGGCCAGTTAGACGGAGATAAATCATGTATTCTTTGGTAATATTGTTTTATTGTCAAACTGATTAAAATGTAATCTGCTTTATAAACTGTTACAAAAGTTTAAAATATAGAAAGGGTAACGCAAAAAGTATGTACTTTTCTCTGGATTAAAAATTAACATACAATACTTTTATATTATTAATTTAAATTAATTGTATACAGAAGAATAAAAATGCATAAACCATAATTATTAACTAAATTATAGTTAAGGATACTGTTACAGCCACATTGATTAATATAAAAGCATTAAATATATAATTTAGGTGAACATACACTGGTCAAAAAAATTAACGCAACAAGAAATTTACATCAAAATTTGGCGAATTTCATATAAGCGTAACTTCGCGAAAACTGGTCGAATTGAAAAGTTTTTTTTTCATTTTATAGGTCAAAGCCTCTGCTTTAAGAAGCTCTTATTGGAATTTGCATTCACTCTTCCCATTTCCCGGAACTTTCTCAAAATCATGATCATGTTTTTTCTCTAAAAAAAATTGCACACTTTGACGCACTGTGCGGAGTGTAGTAATTTTTCTTCGCCAGTTCTGCTTACGATATCAAAAAGTGTATACTTTCT